ACCAGTACCATGCTGTCTTAACCACCATGGCAGTGTAGTAGGATTTGAAATCAGGGAATGAGATGCCTCCTACCTTTCTTCTATTTTTAAGGAGTGCTTTGCTTATTCGGGGCTTCTTTCCATTCCAAACGAAACTGGAGATTGCCTTTTCCATCTCGTTGAAGAATGGGATTGGTATTTGTATGGGGATTGCATTAAACATGTAAATTGCCTTTGTTAGTATTGCCATTTTCACGATATTGAGTCTTCCATTCACTTCTTTTTTTTTTGCTACTGCAAAAAAGTAACTTTATGGCACATAACAACAACAATAAAGCCATACATCCTGCATTTCACGTTCCAGTTTTTAATGAATTGGGGGGGGGTAGCTGTTTCTTTTCCTTTTAATTTGTGTTATAATGAGAGATGGTAATTCCTGACTAAATGAAAATTATTAAAGCTATCCACATCATTAATGTAGGCTGTATTTCATTAGGCAACTCTTCTTTAGTCATTCATTTGAGTAATTTCCAATCTGAGGGACTATTCTATTTCTATATCTTACAATGTTTCACTGGAATTCATAAAGGTTTTTCTATTGGCCAACTATTTCAGAAGCTTATTGTTATTCCTCTTTGTTAGTTTGTCTTAGTATGTAAGATCTGCAGTAATCTGTTCACCATGCATGACAGTGCTGCTATTTCCATATGCAAACCCCTTATAGTACCACAAGCCAGCAAATGAGTGGTAGAACATAGTTTCCATTCACTTTTAAAACATGTAAAAGCAGGAGAAAAATGCCTAGACGCAGCTCTTACTACTGTTGTTGTGAAGTTGTGCACGACTCATAGCAACCCCATGAACTAAAGCCCTGAAGCCTTTCTATAACTATCGTCATTTCTCAAAGTTCATCGAGTTTCCAGAGGCATGTTGTTCAGGAAGTGGCTGGCACTCCTGCTTCCAAACTCTAATAGGCTGTACACTGCAAAGAGACTGCTCACCTTTCTCCTGGCCCCACTGGTAAGACTCGAACTCCAGGCCTTTCGCTTGGCAGCACAGTTTGCTGACTCCAGCCCCAGGGCTCCTTGCATAACTATTACATAACAAGAATTGTATGAGGTTTTCTGCAGACATTATAGAAAAACCCTCTGAATTGGATGGTTAAGTCTTCAATTTATTGATGAGGAAACTGCTGTTTACTGAGGTTAAGTGACATCTTAGGGTCACAAAGCTGTTAAATTACTGAATCAGAATTTGGAACATGTTATCCGGGACTCTGGTGGTCTAAGAGGTAAGGAGTTGTGCTGCCAACCCAAAGGCACACAGTCCGAATCCACTACCAGCCGCTCTGGGGGAGAAAGTTCGACAGTCTCCTCCCTTGTGATTTATAGCCAAGATGGACAGTTTTGTGTCTATAAGATCTATGGCCTCTGAAAACGCGCTGGAGGGTCAGCTATGCACTGGTTCCAACTCATCGGAGCACAGTAACAACAGAAGGGGCCAATCCCGGGAGAAGGGCATCAAGGTTGGAAAAGCAGAGTCTGCAAAAGAGATGAGGGCTGTCCAAGAGATGGATTGATGCAGCAGCCCCACAAATGAGCTTAAGCAGAGACTGTGAGGATGGCGTGGGACTGGGCAGGGTTTAGGTCTCTATATACCGGGTCCCGATGAGTCAGAGTTGACTGGACAGCAGAGCTCTGGTGGCCTCGTGGTAAGAAGCTGCGCCGAAATCCCAAAGGCCTGCAGTTCAAATCTATCAGCCGCTCCGTGGGAGAGGGATGGGCAGTCTCCCCCTCTGTGACTTACAGCCTCTGAAAACCCACTGGAGGGTGAGTTATGAGTCTGTTCAGACTCAACAGCATGAAGAAGGAGTCTATTTGCTTTCAGCTAATATCCTGCTGCTTCTGTGCTGCTGAATGAATGCAGTGAGTGTCTGGAGTTCTTAAACAATTACTACCCCCCCCCTCCCCACCATGTCTCTCTTAGGATGACAGGGAAAGAGGAAGCGGCATCCACACGCGCATAGAGAGACACTGGCTGGGATGCGTCAAGATTCCCTTTAGCACCATATACTTCCAAGCGCGGGTAAGCATCCAAGGCCGGCATTGCATGGGCTCGGGAGGTGGAACACCCAGCAAGCACGATTTATTCAGCTTATTTACTGGGCTTATTTACTCACGGTGACAATCTCACATGGTTCATTCACCACATTGTGTAGTGAAAGCAGGTGGAATGCAAAGGGGTAGGCATAGGTCAGCGCTGGTGAGCACCACGTGATTGAGCGTCTTCACAGGTGGCGATGGGAAGTGAGAACATTCCAGAAAGCAGGGATGGCTGCCAGGCCACCTGTAGGGAGCCTTTACCACCACCAGCCCATCCGTCTTGGACTCATCTGCCCATAACAACCCCACAGATCTAGCACGGGAATTGTCTCCTTCAGGGAGAGTTGAGACCCAGGTTTTGAACCCAGGCAGGCTAGGGCCTGTGTCAGTTTATGTAATCACACGCTCTGCAAAAAAAGAGGGGAGAAATCTAGAGACCCTTTTGGCCAGAGTTGGGTAGACACATCTGGAAAGAGGATTTAGGGTTTTAGCCCCACAGACACAAGGAGTTGATGCTGCCCTGGAATTTCCATTGGAAAGTCACCAGTATGCTCAGCCAAGTGGTCTTTGATTCGCAGATTGATGGGACGTTTAAAATAGACGTGCCCCCCGTTCTCCTGGGCTACACCAAGGAGAGGAACGTGTTTGTGGAGCGGGGTTTCAATTCCACGCACAGCCTAAGCGAAGGCTCCTACCTCACCCTGTTCATGACCATCGAGCCTCAGCTGGTCCCTGGTGAGCCTCTCCGAGAAAAGGTAAGTCCACTTCCAACCTGGGGATGTGTGGCTGCTGAGGGACTGTGGTCCCCAGCCTCTGAGACTGTCTGCAGGCTCAGTGCAGATGAGCAGAAAGGTCCTGCGTCCGTGTTCACTCCTGCCAGCCTCAATTTGCTTCACAGAACGGTGGTGAGCAAACCAGCATGAGGGTTTGTACTTCGATCAAGCCAGTCATGAGGTCCCATCAGCCTCATAAACTCAGGCACCGCCAGGCCTGTGCCAACACGCTCTGCTTTCAGGAGGATTTGCTCAGCGTGAAGACAGTTAAGTCAGTTAAGCTGGGTTGCTCCGATATGTTGACATTCATTGGCAAATCTGTGGAAACATGCTTCCACGTCTGACCTTACACCCCTGGCGGTGGTGGGAAATGATCAGAAAGCCAGATGGTCATCTGGGTCACCGCACCTCATCTCTGTGTCTTCAGGCAGATATACGTCCACGCACGCAGACACCAACCTCAAACAGCTTCCTGAATGTTGGTGAGTGTATCGCAAGCTTCACTGCTGGGGAATTCCCCTTCTGGTGCACGTTTGTGCAGCATTATTGCCTTCAACCTTCACTGGGTTTGGAGACTAGATTGGCCACAGGCTCTTATGCATGTATGAGCCACAGCAGCCAAACCCACGCTCTGAGCTCACCCTCAGTCCTCAGAGCTGGTCAGACACTGAATGTGTGTTCTCTCACCTCCAAGAAAACAGCTGTCTGGAGAGGTGAGTCTCCAATTTATAGATGAGGCTCAACTCACCCAGGGTCTCAGGCAGAAAATGGCAACACAAAAAATGAAACACTACGTGATTCTAATTAAAAAACCCCACAGCCATCTGGTCCATTCAGATTCACTGTGACCCTGCATAGAACTGCTTCAAAGGCTTTCGAAAGCTGAATCTTTATGATCAAGGATGAAAGACAAAACATTGATGCCTTTGGATTGTGGCGTTAGCAAAGAATATAAACTAAACCACGGACTGCCTGAAGGACAAGCAAGTCTGTCTTGGAGGAAATGCAATTAAGTTGCTCCTTAGAGGCTGTTGTGTTGTTGGGTGCCACGGAATTGGAACTGACCCATAGCTGACCCTCCAGCAGGTTTTCAGAGGCAGGAAATCACAGGAGAGGAGACTGTCCATATTTCTCCAGCCGAGCAGCTCACGGATTCGAACCGCATACTTTTGTGTTGGCAGCGCAGCTCCTTAGCACTAAGCCACCAGAGCTGGGAGGTCAACTCCTTCTCGCATGCTCTGGACGTGTCTTCAGGAAGGGCCAGTCCTTGGGAAAAAAGACACCATGCTGGGAAATGTGGAGAGTCAGAGAAAGACAGGAAGACCCTGAATAACATGGCCTGTAATACAGTGACTGTGGCACTGGGTTCGGAACCAGCAGAGGTGGTGGGGACGGCACAGGATAAGGCAAGGTTCAGATCTGTTGTTCATCGGGTCACGCTAAGTCACTGTCAACTCACTGGTACTAACAACAGTCTGTGGGAGAGCCGACAGTCACAGCTTTCCAGCCTTTTGGTTCAAAGCCTACCACGTAACCCATAACCCAGGGGACCACAGAACTCCTGATAAAGCCTCTAAGTCAACAGACACTTACGGAGCCTCTTCAATGGGATTTCACGTCATTCTCCAGACTCTGGAGATGGAACAGTTAAGCATCCCTCACCTCTTGGAGTTTACATCTTTGTGAGAACCATACTGCCCAGATTATTATGGGTGGTGGTTGTTGTTGTGGTTATTGTTGTTGTTGTTGTTGTTGTTGTTGTTGTAAAGTGCTGTCGAGTAGTAGGCGATTCGCAGTGACCCTATGAATGGAAGTCCTGAACACCTGTACAACTTTCGTCCTTTCTCCAGGTTCATAGGGTTTTCCAGAGGCAAGCTATTGTGGAAGTGGATGCCACTCCTGCTTCCAAGCTTGTTTCAATCAGAGAGCTCCACCAAACACTGTCCACCATGGGTAACCATTAACGCATTTGACACATCAGTGTCAGCCATGAGTTACAGCAAGTGGACAACTATGGGCACACTTAAGTTTATTCATTTAGGACTTGGATGGCAGTGGGGGGAAATAGTACATCCCCATGTTAGTAGGTTGTTTTTGTTTTAAGACTCAAAGGGGTCTGCTTCAAAGGGGAGAAAAGCTATCTAGCCTCCCATTTGTAACTCCTTTACAGGATGGCATGACAGATTATTGGAAAAATAAATTTACTAAAATATGAACACATTTCATAAGGTGTGGCTGCCACTAGAACAAGAGGTGCTTCTGAGGACACAGAACAGATGCATTTGAGGATATTTACAGAAAGGGGAGGATGTATTCTTTTTGTCTCCCTGTGTGGACTCAGAGAAAGGAAACAAGCATGTTTGCAATGAAAAATGCTCCCAGCCAAAGACGATGTGGGTAGTTCTACGTGTTCTATGTATGTGGGTAGTTTGGGGCCTGTTGTTGTTGTTGTTGAATGCCATCGAAGTGAAACTGACCCATAGCTGACCCTCCAGGGGGTTTTCAGAGGCTGTAACTCACACGGGAGGAGATCTCCCGTTCTTCTCCCACAGAGCAGCCTGTGGGTCTGAACTGCCTACCTTTGGGATTGTGGTGCAGCTTCTTTTCACTAGGCCACCAGAGCTCCCTAGTTTTGGGCCTGTGGTAAGGAATAGTGCTAACCCAAAGGCATGTGGTTCAAATCCACCAGCTGGTTTGCAGGAGAAAGATGGGTAACCTCCCATGTGATTCCCTGCCTTTAAAAACCTGCTGGAGAACACATTCAGATGGCCAACAAACACATGAAGAAATGTTCAAAATCGCTAGCTCTAAGAGAGATGCAGATCAAAACAACTATGAGGTATCTCATTCCAGTAAGATTAGCAAAATTTAATAGAACAGCAAACAAGAAATGCTAGTGAGGTTGAGGAGAAACTGTAACCCTTATTCACTGTTAGGGGGAGTGTAAAATGGTGCAACCACTATGGAAGGCAGTATGGTGCTTTCTCAAAAAGTTAGAAATACCATTTGACCCAGCGATTCCTTTACTGGGAATATAAGCTAAAGAAACCAGAACTTCCACCCAAGAAGCAGATATATGCTCACCCATGTTTATTGCAGCTTTGTTCACAATAGCAAAGAGGTGGAAACAACCCAAGTGCCCATAGCGAAAGAATGGATAGAGAAGCGGTGGTATATTCACACAATGGAATACTACGCTGCATTGAAAAAACAAGGAACTCATGCAATATTATTAAAAATGGGTGACCCTGGAGGACATTATGCTGAGTGAAATATCTCAGTCACAAAGGGACAAATACTGCATAATGTCACTGTTGTAAAGCAGGACTGACATTGAGGTTGGGGGGTAGACTAAGACAAGAGGGGATAAGTAGTACATACTACATTGAAACAGATGAGGAAGATAACTGAAAGGAATATATGGTTAGGTATTATTGTCATGACAGGAGTTCAGAATGAGAGCTGCATAGTGGAATAGACTGGGGGAGGGGGGGTTGTATAATAATGAAAGATTTTTTTTTTACTTTTCAAAGAGAAAAACCAGCTAGAGGAGGGTTGGGCAGGGAGGAAAATGTGTAACAATGAATGACTGAAAATCCAAAGTCTCTAAAAAATGTCACTAAAATTTCAATTAAAAAAAACAAACAAAAAACCCACTGGAGGGTCAACTATGACTGGATCATGACTGGAGGGTACATGGCAATAACAATGTATTGATAAGGTGGGTGGGGGGGTCAGAGCAGGAGACGAAGCCCCTCGGTGAGAGGGCTGACACAGTGACCGCACCGATGGGCTGAGGCAGAGCAGAGGCTGTGAGGGTTGGCAAAGGGCCAGATGAGGTTCTGATGTGCTGGACAGAGGGTCACTGTGAGTGGGGGGTCAACTCAACAGAATCAGCTCCACCACAGGAAGATGTATTCCTAACAGAGCAGAGAGCACACAGCCTGCCCCCAACACTCCCACCTGGAGGCAAGTCACGAAGGCAGCCGGTGACTGTCACTGCAAGAGGAGAGCCGGAGAGAGGCCCCTCGACGTGCTCTTCTCCCTTGGCCTCTCCTCCCAGTGCTGACCACACGTCTGGGGGCTCCCAGAAGACCTCCAGGTGCAGAAGCGTCCGTCCCGAGAGTCAGAAGAGGAGGCCGGCAGGAGCTGTCTTCAGTGGCATCTCTGAGTGCAGGGCCTCAGACCCCTTCAGTGACAGCGCAGGCACCTCCAACAGCAGGAGCTCTGAGGCTTGTTGGCAGCTGGGACCCTGAGGTCCCCACAGCGCAGCAGCCAAGAACACGTCGCCAGTGTTGTGTTGGGAGATGGTTCAGGAGCTGAGCACTCTCATTCAGACATCAAGGGACGCACAAGCTGAACAGCTTTCGCACCTAATGCTGCTCAAGGGAGCGAGTTGGACCCTTCTCCACTATCCCAGACCCCCGCCAGCCCTTCTTTGTGGTTTGCTCTGCTTCCCTAAAGTTGGTAGTGTACTGTTTAGGTGCTCGGCTGTTACCCAAAAGGTTGGCTGTTCAAACTCACCAGCTGCTGTGTAAGAAAAAGACATGACACTTTTCTACCATCAATACTGCGGACTTGGAAAATCCTTCATTCCCTAGGGTGGTATGCTTAGAATTAATTCACTTGGCATCTATTATTTTTATGGGTTTTATTTACTAACAGAACTTTTCAAAGATTGGCAGCTATTCCAAAAAACCTCTAAAATTCCCTCCTTTACACCATACAGTTAAAACCTATTTTTAAGTGATGTATTATTTCAAATTGTATCTGTTTTACTTCTGCTCATTAAGTCTGGCTCTCTCTTATTTTTTTCTTTTTGCCTCCTTGCCTCTGATAGATGACTATCATGCTTAAAAAGGTACCAAGCATTTTGCTTTCCAGTTCTTCAGTTAATACGGCTTTGTGCAACGCTTTTGTGGTCTGCCAGCGTGTGGCTGTGGCTGGTCCTGATGGCAGTGTTAAACCACACGGGGTGTTTACCATTCCAAGCTTTGCCTTCATTTACTGTTGTAAACAATCTGTAGACTGTTAGCCAACGGATCCTATCTCATGCATACCACTCTGGGGTATCATTCGCTTTAATGGTGTTGTGAAGCCATCACCAATATCCATTGCCAGATTTCCATCACCATAAACAGACACTCAGTGCTCCCCAAGCAGCAACTCACCTCTTCTCCTATCTCCTGTCATTGGTGACCATGATGAAGTATAGTTAGCTTTGAATCAGAGAATTTTGGATGTAGCTAGGCAAGGCTATTCATTGGAGAGGGACATCATGCTTGGGAAGATGAGGAGAGGAAGATCTCCCCCACCAGCCAGGACGATTGACAATTCACAATAGACTCTGGTGTGTTAGGAAGTGTGAGGACGGCACAGGATAGGACAGGGTTCAGACCTGTTGTCCACAGATCTTGATTTGGTGGTACATAACAACAACATGTATCATTTGCATAGTGTAGGTGCCACCAGTGTCTCCAAGTCCATAAACTCATAACCTTTCTTACAGAGACAGTCAGTGTAATTTTCAGAGTGTAGATGTGTCAAATGCATTAATGGTCACCCATGGTGGATAATGTTTGATGGCGCTCCCCGATTAAAACAAGCTTGGAAGCAGGAGTGACATCCACTTCTGTAAAATAGCTTGCCTCCGGAAACCCTGTGAATCTGGAGAAAGGATGAAAGTCACTCAAGCATTGAGGACTTTTGTTCGTAGGGTCGCTATGAGTCGTCTACGGGCCAATGGCACTTAACAACAACAGCAACAGACAGTCAAAGGAAGAATAAGCCCATTCACTTTTCTGTAAATGAAGTTTTGCTACATGCTCTGCAGTATTCATGGAGCTTGAAGGCATTATGTGGAGTGAAATAAGCAACCACAAAAGGGCAAATGTTACCTTACATAAAAGGGCAGGAGAAGGCAAAGGTCTAGAGAGCACAGCTTATTAGTGGTTACACAGAACAGGAAGGAAGGAAATGAACAGTGATATCAAAACGCATTATTAAGACCATGCGTGTGCCACACACACACCCATTAAGAGGAGGGCTTCATCCTGGATTACCAGAGATTGCTATGGCTATAAATTGCACACCTGTAAAAGATAAAATTGGTGAAAGTTGTGTGATAGATACCTTTACAACCATGGAAAAAAACCAAACAAAAAAAACCCCAAAAACAGAACTGCCAAGACCATTCATGTACAAACACCTCATGTATTTGGTTCCTTGGTTTGGGGATTTAAGATGATAGATTCATGGGGTATACCATTTAATTAGCTCATTGACATGCTTAGTGTGTCTGTTGTACCTCCCAAGTTCATTGAATATTGTCTGAGGTCTTAAAAGCTTGCAAGTGGCCACCTAAAGCTCAATGATTGGTCTTTATTCAACGAGGAAGCAGGATGAGGAGGAGAAGCAGGATATAGAACGTATGGATACTTGCCTCCATGGATTTCCTATTTTTATGAGCCCAGAAGAATTTGAGGATGCCCGGCCACCATACTGAACCTTTTGATTTAAAAAAAAAAATCCCTTAATCCAAAGGGGGGAACTGCAGAACAGATTTTCAAATTCTGACAGATGCTAGCTAGTCTTCTGGAGCTCTGGAGCCCTGGGTGAACCCTTGAAACTATTTGTCCTGAGATAAACTTTAAATCTTGAACCAAAAATATCCCCTGAAGTCATGCTGAAGCCAGAGAAGTAGCTTAACTATTCATAAAGGTCTACCTTTAGAATTATGTATGCTCTTTTAAGAATGACTTAGATAAGAGATCAAAGTGAGGGCAATAGCAGCTCCAGCTAGAAAGTTTAGATAGAAATCTTAAGAGACAGTGAGTTTATGTTAATGAGGGAGGAACATTCCAAAAAAGGCGGCTGAGAATGTTTGCACAATTCTGCAAATATAAACAATGTCACAAAACTGTTCAGGGAAAAACAGCTGAATTGGTGTACACCTTGTCTGTACATATTCTCAACAGCTACAAAAGAGTTTCAATATGTAAAGTTATACTATTTAATACTTACAATAGTTAAATATAAGAAGCTGAAGACACAGTCCAGACAGAGAAGTCAAGAACACTAAGAACACTCTAGATTCAAGTCGATAAGAAAGATGGGGATGTTTCAATCCACTCATTTCGCTCAGTAATACTGGCTGAACACTTGTGTCAAGACTTATTCTCTGTTTTAGAGGTTCAGCTATCAGTCAGTTCCACCTCAACAGCAATGAGTCGAGCTGAGAAATTAAAAACTTAATCAAATTAAAATCCTCAGCTTTAAGAATCCTACTAGTTAGGAGCCTTGGGGGTGCAGTCTGGATGCAGTTGTGGTGCTAACCCAAAGATACACCGCCTCCCTGGTGTTTAAAGCCACCAACGATTCCTGGGGAAAACGATGGGCAATTCCCTACTGTTTGATCTACAGCCTCAGATACCCAGTGGGAGGTTAATTATGAGTCAGTTCTAATTTGACAGCAAGGAGTGAGTTAGTGAGTGAGTGAATGGGAGTTGTTAGGTATCAACAAGCAGGAACCAACTCATCACTGCTCTCCAGTGAGTCCTCAGAGGCAGTGAATCGCATGCGAGGAGATCACCCATCCTTCTCCTGAGGAGCCGCTGGTAGATTCCTCCTTAGTGCCTTTGGGTTGGCAGACGCCACCTGACCACTAAGCCACCAGAGACAAAAGGGATACAGTGAATAAACCCCTCAGGTGCTCAAGAGGAAAACGAACCAGGCTCTGAGGGGGCGCTTCGATGTGTTTCCCTCTTGAAAAGAAAAACAAAATCCAAGCACCACCTAATTCTACTTCACAATGATTTTTTTT